CTAACATTGCTGCGAGCTCAGAATTGCTGGCCCCAGAACCATTATTTAAAGAAAAATATTGAGTAGCCATTTGCCCAGCTGGGTGCATTGAGCAAGTTAAGTAGTTCCACACAGAAGAGTCGTAAACACCAAGATTTAGGCATATTAATGATTCTATATATGCATAAGGAAAGAGTCTTTGATAATTCTAGACTCCCACAGATGATGTTAGCATCCTGAGTGCCTAGCCCATCTTTACAAAAAAGCTCTGTGTACCTGATAAGGTAACTCTAAGCCTTATTTAAAGATCACAAGGACCTTTCCCATGGTGAAGCCTTTAAATATAGAACTTATGGGTCAACAGAACAGGAAGAAAAAAGACTAAATTATGGTGCAATGCACAAACCTGGAGTAGTTCTGATGAAAAAAAACTTTAGTAACTTTCAGATGCAGGAAGGCATTTCTGAAAGAGTCAAAAAGCAGCCAGCCTCAGACAGGAGCATGTATTACACAGCTAATGCTTACATGATCCCCCCACCAGCGAGGGCCCACCTGAACAGCTGCAAAATGAAACAATATTGGCGTACATTTTAAGCTGTAATTCAGCATGCCAGTATCAGATTTACCATGACTATGAGCAGGAAGCTATATGGAGGTATCTGATGCATTTACTTTTTGGATGCCCAGATTTTTAAAACACTTTGATTATCTTCATCTTGTGAGATTGGTTTGGTATTCAAAAACGTATAAGAAATGGTCAGTTCTGTCATGTTTTGTTCACTTATTTACAAAAGCACTAGCAAAAGCTGAAAAATTAAAACATACCCTAGCTTTCTACTGCAGGGTTTTATTTAGCTGCCCATGCTACACCTGCATGTGTTGTTCTAAGATGCCACAGAGAATCAGAATTTTTGGAAATTAAATTATCTCTGTCAGGTGCACCAAAGTTTCAAATCAGTTACAGTGGAGACAATTTAGAAGAAGAAAATAAAAATCAGCTCTCCTATTGCATAATAAGATTTAGTAATCATAAAGATTGCCATCAATGTTATTTATAGAACTGGTGTGTCAGGTATTCGCTCAAAAGGTAGGCAAACCATTTCCCATGAGTATCTATTCTAAAAATGTATAAATAGAAAATATTTGTTAGAGAGTGGCTCACACCTGATTAATCTGAAATAAATATAGAAGGCCATGAAGCTCCTGGCTACCTAAGTAACTTCTGATAATTCACAGGAGGTTAAACAGCTGAGATTTCTGTAGCAGAAGTCTTCCAACAAGAACTAATTTAATAACATATATTGTGAATAGACTGCTCTAATCTGAGAGCAAAATGCTTTTAAAGCTATTATCATCTTTTATTTTGCATTTAAATTTCAAAACATCCTGCATTTGTGTTCTGATTGCAAGGATGTGTATGCAAAAATTCTAAGTCAAGCCAGGCATTTCAAAAGTAAAAATGAAAGTCAAAAAGACATTTCAGCTCTAATTCACATTGGGAAGAACAGGGAAGAGCTTAAAAATACCCATATGCATTGCCAAAAATACCCAAATGGGTTCTTGGCTAGGGTAGGAGGCAACACCATTCAAATGATGTTTTCTTTAAAGCTTGGGGATAACAGACCATCACCTATCTTCACATGTGGTGACTAGAGAAATCTTTCATTCAATGTGCCTCATATTTTATGAAACCATTTTAGATGGAATAGTACCCAAAGGGTTTCAAGATCAGCTGAGTGGGTTTTCTGCACATATAAGCAGATTTAGGGCTTATGAAAAATGGATACCAGCGTACTTTCATCAGAGCAGGAGCCAACAAATTCATTCAGAGTTTAAGAGATGGAATTCCATTTTCCTTCTCTGCTCCTGATGGCAGCTTTACGCTGTAAGCAGAGGCTCTAGGGGTCCGCTCTGTCCTCTCCATTACATTTATTAATGAGAAAACAACAAAGAGGGTGTTTATATTATTGTATAGCTGACCCCCCCTCACACAGCATTATCTGCATGTCACTGCAGAACTGGGTTTTGCAGATCTGGGCTTGCCAGAAACATTAAAGTTAACTTCATCCATGGAAATATAATTCATTGGGCCAGGGATAGAGCGGGCATAAGAATTTACTTCTGAAATTTTGTACACAAAATAGGCATAAATATTTTTGCACACATAAAATGTATTGGAAATGTTGTTACACAATGAACCACTACAGACTGCTAAATATAGCTCCAAACTTTTATAATAACCAAGCTCCAACTCAACAAACATTTAGATACATTTCATGTATTTTTGAAATATATAGATATATGGTTTCAAAAATAACTAAACGAATTAAAGGAACAAAAATCTGTCAAAGACGGTTAAATTCAGAAGGCAATCTCTCTGGCACAGGCAGTCCTTCAGCCAAACAGCTGCTGGAGTTTTCCATGGCAGTATCGCTAAGCACATGCCCTGTTCAAAGACTATTCGCATAACTACTGTCAGAGACAGGCTAGTGGGCTAGATAAACAGCTTTTCACAAGAGTGGATCTGAATAAAAACTATAAATTAACTTCTGCAGTTGTCAGTCATATTTTGGCTTTTCCATACTTAAGAAGTAATGGGTACTGCCATCAACTGGAGTTAAGAAATGAAAAGAAAAGGGGTTTTCTGAGTAGAAACTATGGTGTGCCGCTGTGTACCTGGTCCTCTCTCAGCTTGCGTGGGATCAGTATCTATACCTGGAAATTCAAAGGTCTTTTTGTCCAGAAACATAAAGGTTGTTTAGGTGGTTTGCAGTTATAAGCACAAACATCCAAGTTGCTTCCTTTCTGAATTATATTTCTAACCTAGTAGGTAAATCCTTACCTTTTTTTTTTTTTTTTGTGTACTTTTTAGGACTATCAGGAAGCTTCTAATTTGGAGCAGTTTGTGACTCGCTTTCTTTTGAAGGAAACACTGAACCAGCTTCAGTCCCTGCAGAGCAGCCTGGAGTGTGCCATGGAAACCACGGAGGAGCAGACTCGGCAGGAGAGGTGAGCAAACCTTCTGCACAGCTGCGGTGAAGGGGGTGAGGAGTGGGGTCACCATGAACCTCCAGGATCACTTTACATTTCACCCAGCAACCTGATGTAGGGAATATCAGGAGAAATAAAGATACACTTCTTATTCCATATAGGAATTCATTAATAGGAGTTTTCCCCAAATTGAACACAAGCAGGCTCCAATCTGATCCCATGGTGGGTTGTGTATAGGAGGACCATTTTGTAACATCCTAGTCTTTGCTCCTTTGACTTCTTTTTAAATCCACTGACTATTTAATATCAAATGCAGAAACCAGACCGCTGCAATATGAAGAGCTCTGAAACTACTAAGACCATTGACTGTCTCCTTGTTTGCTTCTTCCAGCTTTAA